ATTGTAACTATATTCCTCCCAGTGCTTAATACAACATATTGGAGCCTCTTTTTTGGTCTAAAACATAATTAAATAACATGACCCTACACTAGAAAAAATAAAGAATTTTTTAAAGGCTGAAAGCATATTTTTAGCCTTCCCATAAAGACCTAAATTCTAAACAAACCCACACTGATTCAGTGGGCTTACTCCAGCGCAATTTACTATGCTAAGGAACTGGATTTCAGCCATAACATCAGTATTTTGACATATATCTGTATTAAATTTTCAATGAGGTAACCATGCTGGTCTGTTTCAGTGCATAATATTTTGCCAAAAGATTTAAAAGTCACAGATTTATTACAGAGTGAGCTTTTGTGGATTATAATCCACCTCTAATAATAAGAGATTCCACCTAGCCTTTGGATGCATGAATTAAATTTACATCGAGCATGATCTGAGAGAGATCAAGAAAACATTTCCCAGTAGAGGCCTCTAGTTATTTTCAGAACATGATTAGGATCTATCTAAAACTGGGTTTTGTTTCCTGTCAGAAAATGTTTCTACTCCAGCTGGTGTCTAAATTTACAGTTCCAGAGGTTAGATGTAGAAGGAATTTAGAGACATCTGTATTAATGAAATTGTAATCTAGCAGTCACATAGTAAAATAATGCAAAGTATTTATAAAATATATCCAAATATTGTTTCATTTTGATATTAACTACCGTATGTGTGAAAACTGATAATTTAAGGTTTGTGAAAACACTACTCTGGGTGGTGTACATGATAAAACAACAAAACCCCATCCTCCCATTTCCACTCCAATTATTGACTATTAATAACAATAAAAATAATCATAACAATCCCCCCAATACAATAACCATATGGGAAAAAAGATTAAAATGCTAAATATTGCTTTTATCTGTTCTAGCTAAATATTGCTTTTATCTGTTCTTATTTCTTTAATAACTTTGTAAGCAGCCTTAAACACTATCGTTTAGTGGGAAGGCAGAGTATAACGATAATGAAGAAGAAACAGCAGTAGTTTAGTGTATTAACTACTCCTAAGCGATAAAGCAAAATCAACTGGGACACAGTTCTCTAGCTCTTACAACAGATCATTTATCAAAGCTGTTTCCCTGAAGAAGGCCTGGATCCACACAGGAAAAGATTCTACTTTACTTAATCCAAGAAAATAAGTTTTTAATTTAAAATTCGCTTTTAGAATGCATGTTGTGGAGTACTATGTATTCTCGTTTCAACTGGGTGATATGCAGTTGTAGATTTTAACACAAGTAACTATTTTTAAAAAATGAAGCATTTGAAATGTGTATTGCAGGATGCTAAGAAATTCCCGGCTTGAGTGGCTAACAAATGAAGTACAAAGCAAATGAATAAAGACTAGGATATCATGAAAAATGTAAAATACAGAAAGCTAGAATACTTCGTGTAACAAGCTAAAAAAGGACAAGTTGTTGCTTCTGATTTTTAAGGTAAACTAGAGAAAGAAATAGAGGAAGGAGAAGAATTTACTGGCTGAAGAACTGGGGAGATTGGTTTATATGCAATACAATGTCATTGTACACAGCTGCTGCATCCAAAGTCAGAGTGCTCATGATAATATCTAGGTTCTAATAGGAGATGATGAAGAAGGTGGGTTTTGGTTAGGTTTTTCCCCAACAGGACACTTAAAAACATTCTGCAGAAGATAGAATATGGTCCTCTTTCAAGGAGGCATTTATAATTATCATCCAGGCAAGCAGCCCTATCATGTCAGGAATTCTGCCAGCTGACCATCTCCCTAAGAGCCCTACAGAACTTTATAAACCTGAAGGGAAAAATCAGAATCCTGTGTTCATTGCAGCTGCCATTTATCCCCAAAAAGAGGGTTAATTCCAGAATGAAACCAGACAATCATTTCCAGTGATTTCAAAATTAATCTGGATAGAAAACTCTCTTTATTCTGTTGCTATAATTGCATCAGCTAATGCTATAAGCTTTATTTACCTACATTGCTCCTATGTTCCATATGCACAAAAATACTTAAAAGTATTGAGAAACATAAAAAAAATCTTAAAGCTATGGAAACATAAATGTAGGCACAAATGCTTTAAATATATGAAAAATTCTAGGCAAATTCTTAATTTGAATCCAATCCAAACTACATGAGCATAAAAATACAGTAAGAATTTACATACTAAAAATGCAAGAGCGTATCACCTAAAAAGGCACATTTAAAAACAAAAGGCAGAGAATACTACTCTAAAACAATTTAAAAATTAAAAGCATTATAAATTAATCTTTAGCCTTTAAGAATTCTAAGATTATTATTACATTATTTATAACACATTATTTTAATATTATTTATAACACACATAGAAATATTACTTTAAGTACCCACACAGCCAAACCAGCCTTCTGTCAGTTTGCATCTATGGAGGAAAATTTTGGAAATGAAGTCTGCTGCTCTGTTGCTGCATGATTGTTTTTGTATTTGGTGATTGTGGCATGATGATAAGTTGAATGTTGAATTTGTGGGTGTATCTTACCTATCTATATTTATAGCTCTTTCAGTTGTTTTCTTTTCCCTTCCAACTATAAACAATACTTTTTCCAGTGTGCTGGAACCTCAATAATTTTTTCTTTAATTATTGTACCTACTGTAACTCTGGGGGCTATTTTTCTCCCCCAGCCTTTAATTGTTTTAACATTTTGGCAGATCTTTTAAGCCAGAATGGCTACAGGTTTAATCCTCATAATTTGTCAAGAGTATTCTCTGACAATTCCAAGCCACCTGTCACAACCTCAGGTAAAAGAAACTGAAATGCATCTATCAGAATGGGACTGAGGGTTGCCTGAAGCATATTGCTAAAATTTGTTAACAAAGTATGGGTATACATGATACTGGCAACAAAACATTGTGCAAAGTTGGTTTTCCTTTACTTAAGGTACATGAATGTCACTAGTGTCTGGATTCTTAAGAAGGAATCCTTTAAGAATCTAGACATCCTGAATGTCTGGATACATTCTAGATGTAGACATTTATAATTTTAATCATGTTGTAACTGATATTTTTATGTTGGGCTACACTCTTAGTTTTCTGGGGGCCTCTTGTTGCTGCACAGTGCCTCTAGTTTGGTCTCTTTTTGGTCAGCTATTTAAAACATGCTGTACCCAGAGGACATGCTGGGGGTTTAGATATTGTAGAAGGTATAACCAGAGATAGGACTTCTACCTCTTCTTCAATGACATGAAGCAGATATTATCATGGTTGTCTTAATCTATGCTTTTTCTCTAAAGCTACTATGTTCCTCATCTTCCTCCTTTCAAAAAAAAATTTTTTTTAAATGGCTCTCTGCCTCCCATGCTGGGCAGCTCTGGCAGGCAGTTGGTAGTAACAGGCTCTGCTTCAGCTCCCATTGCAAGCCCTGACAGTTACATTTTTTAAGATGAGGCGTATTGATTTCTAAGTACTAAATAAGGTCTTCCTTATTTCTATAATGATTGTCTCTAGCCATATTTGCTATTCTATGTAACTGCACTCAAGGATGGATCACTTATCTCCAAATGTCAGGGGCTTTTGCCTTGATTATGAACCACCTATGGGGGTTCATAATCTATCCACCTATGCTTTGCTTGGTTAAATGACATACACAGACATACTGTCTTATATCCTGAAGCCTATAATGGGATTTTCTAGCCCAAGTGTTCCTTATCAGAGAAATGAGCACGGAACTCCAGGCAGTTACAATGTTTAGTATGGGGCTGCAGTACACTTAGGTATTTCATATTAATAGATTGCAATCCATTATTCAAGGTAAGAACAGCCATGATGGATTATATTCTGATAGTAATGGTGTGCTGTCAAATCTGAGTTATGGTGACCCTTCTCAGAGTTTTTAGGTATAAAGTACAGTACTCAGGAGTGGCTTACAATTTCTTTGCACTTCTTTTCTAACTAGGTCTTTTCATGGCTTTAGGGTAGCTTTTGTCAATGTGTCTTTGGAAGGCTGTATAATGGTTTTCTTGTGATTTTCCTGCTGCCAAAGTACTTCACTTGTCATCCTGCATAGAATAGCTACAGTTTAGAACAAACTGCCTTGTGGAATTTTTATACTTCAGAATAAGTGGCATTCCTTCAGGTGGTACCTATTTATCTACTCACATTTACATGCTTTCGAACTGCTAGGTTGGCGAGGAGCTGGGATAAAGTGACGGGAGCTCACTCCGTCGCGTGGATTCGATTTTATGACTGGTGGTGTTCTGACCCTGCAGCACAGGCTTCTGTGGTTTAGCCCGCAGCGCCACCACGTCCCTTTGCTTCTAGCACAATCTAATTGCTTGTCTGCACAGAAACAAACCCCACTTAGTAAAATGGGACATAAAGACCTAAAACATTACAAGGACTGAAGCCATCCAGGCTGTATATCCACATTTTAATGGGAAGAATGCCCCATTGTACTGGGTGGAGCTTGTTTCAGGGACCCCCCCCCCCGGCTTAGTGCTATCTAATTCTGAGGGCAAGACAGGGTTAGAGGAAGTCACTCCACATTATTTGGAGACAATTTTCACTGTTTGTGAGCATCAGAAGTTACTTCTGGCAGTGGGTTTCAGCCAGTATAAGGACAGCCTCTTTCTAGACATATCTGATTAACTTTTGTTACAATTACAATGCACCCAGCTAATGGAGAGGACACATATACGGTATGTTATTCTGGGTGCTAGCCTGGACTCAATAATGGAAACGATACTGTTATCCGTTCTAATGAAATGAGTTAATTTGTGGTCTGCTAGACATTTTGGAATTAGACCTTATGCACGTGGAGAGAAAAAACCCACCAAAATGTCAGTCACCTCTGTCCCATCCTACAATGCTACTTACCAGTGGCACTGAATTTATCATTTAAAACGAAACGCCTTGTGGCATCTTTAAAAACTTATATTTGGAAATTAAAACACTAGCAAGTTCTGCTTGACACAAGCTTTCATGGATCACATCATACAGCAGACAATGCCAAATAAAGTTTCATCTGTGGGCTTCTCTTTTTATTTTCATGCAACAAACCAATATCGCTATTCACCCACTCCCTGTGGTAATTTAATTTGTTGGTGTAACTTGCCACTGATAAGGCAGGGGTAGTGCTAGGTACAGTATAGTGGAGAGGAGATTTTAAAATGTTATTTGATTTAGTTATAGATTGACTCCTCTATATTCCTGTCATATGTAACCACCTTTATAATAGTCCGTTGAAAGGAGGAGGGCGGGAAATCCCCTCCACTTTTCCCGTGCCAAAAAAATCGCCGCTTCAGTAGTAGGAAAACGTTTGTCCCTGACTACCGTAAAAACAGGGGAATTACTGAGGCTTTAGCTGCTCGCCAGGTGCAATAATGGGCAGACGGCATTGCTCCGTTTCTCCTAGCGCTCCTCAGAGGGATGCCCTTTCTTCACCCTATCTGGGGCGGCCTTTTCCGCCGCCTCCCACTTCTTCGTTTCACACTTAAGCCTATTAGAAGCCTTCTTCGCTCCGGCTTTGGCAGGCTGCCCCGGCTCACAAGATGAGCATTGTTTCTCGAGGTACGCATTTTACGCAGCGCTCCTGTCAGGCCGACAGCCATGTACCCAACGGTACGCCAGACATCTGGTTCTGTATGGTTTTCACGTAGGGATACAGCGTAAGGGCGGGACGGCAGCGGGAATGCGCCCCTCCCTCCTATGCTTCGCTCAGTGAGGCCGGGTGCAAGACGCGCCCGCGGAGACGGCCCGTAACGGGTGTCGAGTGGAAAGAAGCGAGTGATTCCCAATCCTCTGCTACGCTTCTTGCGCAGGAGAAAGTCCTAGCCCGCGCCTTTCTTCGCCCGCTATCTCCACGCTGCTGGCGTAGCATGCCCCAAGATGGCGTCGCGGTCGTCGTCGTTGGCGGCGGTGGCCGGAGCGCTGGCAGAATCTGCGGTGCCGACGTGGGAAGAACTGAGAGGGGAGATGAGGCGGCGGGCAGAGGGTGGCAGCATTAGTGCAGAGTAGCGGCTACCGAAGGGGGGGGGTCCCTTCCTTCTCCTCTGGTGTGTGTGAGACAAGAGACTCTTTGGGATAGCGGGTCGCCCGCCTCCCTCCGGCAGGGAGACCCCGGCCTTCCCTCGTGCGGAGCTGACCCCCTTGCTTCGGCTCACCCCCCGCTGCCGCCTCGCCGGTGGGTCTTCCCACCCTTGCTTGCGAGTGGAGGATGATGAAGCTCAAGTCCAACCAGACTCGCACCTACGACGGGGACGGATATAAGAAGCGGGCGGCTTGCCTCTGCTTCCGCAACGAGAGCGAGGAGGAGGTGGGTGAGAAGCAGAAGAAGCCCCCCCCTCCATAGAAGGAGGGGAAGGGCGTGCGCGCGTGTGTTGGCTTGTGCCGGGGGGGGGGTAGGTGAGAGAGGCTGAGGGCAAGCGCGTTCCTGCGGACCGTTGAAACGTGGCGGGGGAGGGGAAGAGGCGAGCGAAAAAGTGGCGAGGAGCGGCGGTGGCCGTAATAGGACGCTGGACAGGCGAAGGAGGAGGAGGTGTGGCGAACGGAAGGCTCCGAAGGGGAGCGCGCAGGGGGGCGGTGGCTGAGCGCGGTTGAATGGGGGACACAGGATGAGGCGAGGGGCGGGGCCTGCGCGGGGTGGACGGGAAGCGATTTTTAACAATGGGCCCTCTTCGAGAGGAAGGAGGGAGTTGGCGGGCGGCGCCTTCTTCCCCCCATCTTGCCACAGCGAAAGAAGCACGCTGTGGTTCGGAGGAGGGAGCGATGGAGGGGCTTCCTTACTGGCTAGGAGGAGTACGAGGGCAAGAGACTGTTACTAGGCGAGAAGTGACTTGTAACGCCCCTTTACTGTATTAATAATCACCCTTCTGGTTTTTTTTGTAAATCACGTCGAAGAAGGAAAGTTGCCTTTTCCCTCTCTTGGAGCTCGGGAATTATACACATTGTAGACAGTATTAATCTGGAGTAAGTTAAGGCAGTGGAAGATACAGGAGGGCCTGGCGTGCTCTGGTTCATGGGGTCACAGAAGAGTCGGACACGACTAAACGAAACGAAGTTTAGCATGTAAATGGAGGATTGGGGATTTAGAAAGTCCATTTGGAGAGTGCAGTCTTCACACAATCTTAAATTTTCAAAAGTATCGGGGTTGAGCTCTCATAAGAACAAAGGGCACGTGATTAAGTAACATACTCTTAAGAGATAAAGAAGAAAGTATTGAACCAGTGTTTTAAAATCTTAATTCCCATCAGACCAAAGGAATAGGAATTGTTCAATGCAGGCCTATACATATTTATTGCACAGTGAGTTCATTTGAAGTTTTCTTTAAAGTAGGTGTGGCTTTGTTCATGTTTGCCTAGAGTAATGATAAAATACTAGAAGACCTGATTAATGGGTATTTTTATTGTTATAGTTAGTGGTTCCTTATACACAACAACATTGTATGTAAAAGGTGGAAGTGGGGAGAACCCCTGTTCCTGCACAAGAGCACCATGCGAAGTGAAAATGCTGGACATAATATTTGATAATAAATAATGAGTACCAAGGTGTTCCTAAAAATCAGAAGCATGAGCAAGAAAAGCTTTTCTGCTACAGAGTAGTATAACTTTGGGTTTCAGAGTAATGTAAAGATCTCAGTTCAGTGTAGGAACAGATTTAAAAAGCGTAAGTTAAAAAAACAGTTTTGCTTAGTGATGGGAAAAAACTCATCTCTGATACATTAGGATAGCATGCAGAATGGAAGCTTTACAACAATGAAACATGACATGAACTGGTATGGCATGGTGTGTTCTGGAATTTGGCTGTGGTTTACTTTTGCCATGCTCAGTTGAGCACATCATATGACAAGGCAGAAATTTGATTCTGGGTTTATAAAAAGAAACTAGGATAAAAGGGATTGGCTGCTTGCCAGAAATTGCCATTGGCGGGCTTGAGAAACTAGAATTGATTTAGACCTGTTCGTTGTGACCTGTTTTATGCACACTGAATGGTGTAAACTTCTGTTTTTGAATAATCTTTGTTTAGTTTAGAAATTATTGATAGTGCCGTGTTTTAGGTTACTTAGTGAAGTAAATGGCATTAGAGCATACCTATTGAATCAATGAGGATTTAGTGAGTCAATCCTTCTGTAAGTTCAGTTCATTTAAATGGGCCTACTCTAACTGCAGCTTACTTTAGCATAATAGGTTGTAGTTAGAGTAGGCCCATTTAAGTAAATTGAACTTATAGAAGAAATTACTAAATCCCCATTGATTCAGTGGGCCTACTCCAGTGCAATTTATTACATTAATCAACAGGATTTTGGCTAATGGGTTGCATTTATATAAAATACTTTGAACAGTATATATTTTAAGTTCTGATAATAACTGTCTAAACTAGCTTAATTGTTATTCCTGTTATAGCTGGCTAGTTAAGACTGGTAGAGCAGCTTGTTTTGGCCACATAGTGACTTTATAACTGATACACAATTAGATTTAGGAGAATTCCAGGGAGTTATAAGTAAATTGTTCCTTGTAGTAATATTCTTAGCCATGATATTTGCACTGTTTACCTAGGATTCCCAGGTAAATGGTTGTTATATTGTGTTGTGTCACTATAGTCATGGCAATTTGTAGGAGTAGGGCCAGAATTAGCTTTAGGTGGGACCTTACTGGCTTTCTCAGTTACCTCATTCTGCTAGGTTTAACTTTGCAATACACCAGCTGGCCATTTGCAGGGTGGCAGTTTACAACAGCAGAGATTGAAAGGGATGGTAGTTTACTCATTTGTCTGCAAAATTATATTGCAAAGAGGAATAATGTATTAGGATCCTGTTACTAGAGCAGTGGTTCCCAATAGTGATGGGCACAAACTTTGGTTTAGAGTTTCCTGCCAGTTCATACACACAGCACAACAGGTGTTGCACATTTCCTTTCCCCATCTTCCCAGCCAGTGATTCACCAGTCAGAGCGCACTCCTGTCCACCTTGTATTTGACTGCTCAATCAGTTTCTGGAGCCTGGGGTTATCTGTCTTACCTCCTTTTCTGAGTGAGCAATCAGCCAAGGAGGTGGGGCGGGGAAGCCAGTAGTACTGCCAAAGACTGGTCGAACAACTGAAGAGGAGGAGGAGAGGAGCATGCATGCTGACTGGTGATTGGGGGATCCAGCTGGGGAGGTGGGAAAGGAACAGAGTTTGCACTTATCTCTTGTTCCCAATCTTTTTTGAGGCGTGTTCCTAACCTTTTTCATTCACAATCACTTTTTATAATAAGTAAGTAACATAAGACACCCCCACCACGTTTGCATAAAAAGGCATTTTAATAGGCTAAATTCATCCCTTCTCAGAAAGTAGAGTCTTCTTTCTCCCCCAAAGGGCCTGTTTTTCTTACATTTGCATGCGCTCTAACTTTAATATCTGGCTGTGAAAGGCCAAGGAAGAAATTATTTAACGAGGCCTGCAAAACATATAAGGTGACCTGTGACCACCCTACAGAAAACACTTTGCAACCCCTTTGAAGGTCCTGATCCCCAGGCTGTAAAACATTATGATAGAGGCTTTCAGTGGATTCCAGGGCACAATATTTGTTTTACTTTTCACTAGATTCTTTATCCATATAGAATAACAAAATCGGAAACATATGTGATGTTTTAAAGATGAACAGATTTATTGCTTTGTGATTCTGTAGAATCTACTTCCCCAGGCACATGGGTAAAATTTCTAACTGGAAAAAATGGGAAGATAACTGCATAGCAAGAGGAAAATGAATTAGAATATTATGTTTAATGGCACAAAATACATATAACATTACTGCCACAATATTTGTCTGTGTGTGGTTTGTATATTTTATATAATTATTTATCAACCTACTATCTGCTTTTTAAAGTCCCTAAAGTGATGTTGAATACTGAAATTACAAAATAGTTAAGAATTCAATGGAATAAATGACTGTGACGATCTACTTATGAAAACAAATGCAGTCTAAAAATAATAGTGTCAATATAAAAAGTAATTCCCTAAGAAGGTTAAAACCCATGGTTTAAAGCAGTGGTTCTTAACCTTGTGTTACTCAGGTGTTTTTGGACTGCAACTCCCAGAAGCCTTCACCACCAGCTGTGTTGGCTGGGGCTTCTGGGAGTTGCAGTTCAACAACACCTGAGTAACCCAAGGTTAAGAACCACTGGTTTAAAGCAGAAGTTTATGACTGCTATTGTAACCCACTCCAACAAAATGAAAGACATAAATCAACTCCTCTCACTCAAAACATGGACAAAGTGATGTACGCTGTTTTTATTCTAATTTCTATCTCAAATAAATACTAAAGCATAATTCTGCCATCCACTCCACTCCGTAGTATGCATTATTAATTGTACAAAAAAGCTGAAATGAAATGCAGACATTATCTGAAATTGATCTGAAATGCTGTAGTTACATAATCTTTATTAGTACAGTGCAGTTGATCCATATTTTGGGGAAGGAAGTCTGTCTCTGTTTAGTGAGCTTAGTCTTAGGTTAGCAAAGGTTTACTTTCCTTTTAGGAAATCAAGAAGTATGACTCAGCTTTTGCGTTTAGTTGAGATATAAGTTAAGGTTCATCAGTGTGTCCATGTTTTCATTGAGAATTCTTGATCCATTGTCTGGATTTTTTTGCTTTTCGTGTACTGTTTCATCCATAATGTTTGTTTTTTTCTCCCTTTGGCTATTACCCCCCACACACACACACACCTTTTTTAAAGCATTGAAACACATAAGCATCCATGTTATGAATGTATTGTAGAAAGTGTGACCAGAGATAGGGCATCAGTGTTATGAAAAGAAAATTGGGCTTTACTGAAGCTTTTTTTTTAAAAGGCATTGTATAAATATCTAAGCAGATAGTTTACATCAGCATTAAACCTCTGACTTACTGCAGAAAGCAGACCAACTTTTCCAAGACATTTTCTCTTAATTCAGTATTCTTGGTATACATACACATTTTCCCTAGGAAATTCATTGCAGGATAAAATGCGTATTTTAGAAGCAAGTTCTACCTAACCACTCTTTTCACCCTGAAATGTATTAATTAATTGTTCAATTTATATACTGCCTTATTAATGCAAGCACTACCCAAGGTGGTTTACACAACATTTAGAAGTCAGAAACCTTCAGTGCATCTTTTTTGTAGGTATCCTTCAGTCTCAAGAGACTATGGTAGCATTCTCTGAATAGAGGTCTTGGAACAGCGTCTGGTGTGGATGAGAAGGCCAATTTGAGAGTGACAGTCCCTTCTACACTGAAGAGAAATACAATCTGTCCCCTGTCTAGCTCCCTGATTTTGCTGGTTTTGTGATGGTCTCTT